CTAGCATGGATGAGGAACTCTGCAGTGGCATAATAGCATCATCTGCAATAGACAGATAAAACTTTGAACTATTCTGATCAGTCTTCATTTAAAAAAAGATATAATATAATATAATATAATATAATATAATATAATATAATATAATATAATATAATATAATATAATATAATAGCTTGTGTTTAAATGCTGTATTAATACCACTTTGACCCAACCTTCATTCTCAAATCACCTTTTTAACTAACACGTCATAGGACTGCTACCATTCTGGTGAAACAAAGTGCCTGCTTCATCTTTCAAAAACAACCCAATTCCTCCCAAGCATGCTGGAAAACAGTAATTTGACTACTGTGACAAGACAAGAAAAGAGTTAACTGTTCAAACACCTGACTGGAGTCTCTCAAGAACTGCATATCCAGGAGTGGATTTTTTAAATTATATTTTATTCACTGCAATGGAAAACCATATTATTGATGTTAATAGTAAAGTATCTTTTATGTGCCATGGTCTATACAAAATGTAGTAGTGCATTAACTTCAAAGGTGGTAAGAAGATTAAAACAAATAGTTCATGGGACATGACATGCAATACAGCATTAAAGATATAAGACTGAACAATCCCAGTGCCTTGGCAGGATCCTTTTATATTTCTTTGTTAATGAGGGAAATTTTAAAATCCAATCCAGCAAGCGTAAGTGTAAGGAAAAGCTTTTAAAATCTTATCACAACGTGTTATTTAGTGAGCTAATCATCAAAGCATTTTTTATGGCAACAGAAGGGAGCTTTACTTATCAAAATCAATACAACTAACTTTAAGAGACCATATTATGCTGCTTTTAACTCCTAAAATATGCCCCTTGTGTTTAACATTTCTGAAAAAAAATACCTAAAATCATACCACCCGTTTCCAAGAGTCGCCCCTCCCCCCACCTCAGACTGAAACCATCCCAAGAACCTGGGACTCTTACTAGGATCTTGGCACCATTCAATCTCCCCGGTGCTAAGTTAGAAAGAACATGACAAAGCCTGGTGACATGGAAACAGGAAGTTCTCCACTCGAAACTGGCAGGGAAAACTGCCATTCCCTTACAGTTACCGGATGACTTTACTGAGGTCCTCAACTTCTCTCTCTAACCCAGGAGGGGTCTCAACGTGTGGTCCTGGGAACTGTGGCAGCATCACCAGGGAGCTTGTTAGAAATGCAAATTCACGGCCCCACCCCAGACTGACTGAATCAGAAACTCTGGGAATGGGGCCCAGCAATTTGTGTTTTAACAAGCACTCCAGGAGATTATGATGTACTCTAAAGTTGGAGAACCACTCCTCTTCAAACTTTAATGTGCAGAAGAATCACCTGGGGAGCTTGTTAAAATGCAGATTCGAATTCAACAGGTATGAGGGGCGACCTGAGAGCCTCCATTTCACAGCAGCTCCTAGGTCAGGTCTTCTGCAGACCACACTGCGAGGGTTTCCGAACCCGGTTGTTTACCAAAATTACCCAGGGTGCTTATAAAATATGGGTTCCCAGGCACCACCCCAGATCAAATTAATCTGAGTCTCCGGAGAAAGGGCTAGCTGAATACTGCACGACCAGCGGTTCTCTGCCTCAGCTGCACGTTGAAAATCACCCGAGGAGCTTTTAATAATCCTGATGTCCAGGCCCCATCCAAGACCAATTAAATCGGAATATCTGGGTTGTGACCCAGGTCTCCACATTTTTAGTAATTCCCCAGTGGTTCCAATGTGCGGCCCAAGTTGAGAACCGCTGCACTGGTGTCTAACTGCCTCCACACCTGGCACAGTGGATCCCTTTATAGTAGAAAATGTTTTCTTGTAACATGGCTATCTGGGTTCCCACATATTAATCCAAGAGCTCTGATTTTGAATAGTAAAATGCATCTCGGTCATTTTTAAAATGTCTTAAACCTTATTTCTGTAGGCACATGTGCCTATACAACTGAGACCAAGGATTTAGTAATGCAGTCCTAACTTTTAACACGAATATTAGGGGTCTTCCATTAAACAAGTTTTCACTGTCCTCCCAAGCTGTAGCTACTGCTACCTCTGTGCAACGAGGTAGGTATTCCAACAAACAGCAGCCAACAGTAAAGAATTTGTATCCACACAGCCTGTTCATATATTGAAATCCTCTCCCCAAACCTGAAACAGATAGAGGAAATTTCTAATAACCATTCAAAATGGAAGAGTGACTGATCAATCTAGAACTTTTGACCCTGTAAATGGCAGATTTCACTAGTTACAGACATTTTGACAGAAAAGGTTCTGGGAAGGGATGAAAGTGATGTGCTTTTTACACAGGAGGATCTGAACTCTTGAAAGCATGTCTTCTGGTGTCGGGGTGGAGGGGAGGGGGCAGAGACAAGACCTGAAACACTGCCACTAATGACATGACACTAATAACTCAGGGGAAAAAAAAGAAATATGTCTATTTATGGCTTATGTTCTCCAGCACAAAGCCACTAATAAGTACACAAAGCTATTAAATATGTAGTATGTAAAACAGAAAATGTGTGGTGGTTACTAAGGCACTGTCAAGTGATTACAGTTATTTTACTCCCGTGATCAAACACTGCTTTTAAGACATCTTCTTGAATTTTCCACAGTACACCTCAAAAAATACTTTAAAATAAATGAAGAGAAGATGCAGTCCTCTTTCCACTTAAGTAAACATGAGTTCTCCCCTTGGTCATGTTCGGTGTCTCTTCTAAGTTGTTTTGTTGAACACATGACATATTCAAGGCCTGCTAAATGATAATGGTTATTCTTCCATCATCGTTTCAACATATCCCTAGTGGTAAAAAAAATGTGTCTTATTTGGTCTGTTTAATTCCCCAAAAAGAAATCCAGTGGGTGGGGTATTCAAAGACAAGCAATACCTAAACACATGTGCAAAGTAGCCACTGTTAAGATGACATTCTCAAAAGCATTTTCTGTATGAACTGGTCAAGCTCACTTTCCTTTTAAACTTCTTGTTATAGTCATTCAGTTAACCCAAACTCCCTTTAAAATGTGTGAAAATAGCACCTCCTGAAAGTGTGTTCTCATATGCTTTGGAGCAATGGAGCGTGAATAGTAAAATCGCCTTTGCCAAACTCATGTAACTGAACAGGAGTGAATTTTTGCAGTCCCATGACTTTGCAGAGCCAACCTATGTATCATCCCACAACTGGCTTTAATATATCATAGACATCCAAGAGAAGGCAGAAAAGTCATAAATAAGTGAATCAAGCCAATAAATATTTCATAGATTTTTTTTACATAGCAAACTTTTTTAAATGAATCTGACATCTTAACCAAAAAACAAATTGGCTAAGCAAAGGTGTGAGTTTAGGATTTAAGCTCCTACAATTAAAACTATGAAATTTATAAAGACAGTTAATTTACTGGGCAAAGTGTCAGTCTGGATGCTCTTTCATGCATTTTTTATGAATAAGTGCCCAAAGATGAACCAAGTCTGAATGAAAATGCACAGATCACAGAAGAGTGGCAAAAATACAAAATTAAATACATTTAAAGTATTAAAGCCAAAGAAAACAAACAATACAAATTCACAATTTCCAGGACACTTTATTGCAATTTCCACTTTACATATTAATTTAATATTTTTAGTGTAGGCAGAAGTGTTTATACTTATTTAGTAGTAGTCTAATCACCTAATCTCACAAGATGAAAAGAAGCAGTTTAAAAAGAACATCAATTCAGGTATTTATGATATGGGGACAAGGGGCACTCGTCTTAGCAAGGAAAATGGTTGATGGTTCTCAGCATAAGTTTCACTGAAATTTTTCTCCATTATTTTTGTTGTTGTTGATGCAATGTACTCATAATAAAAACAATTGACCTCTGTCATTCTGCCCTTCCTTGGGCTTTACATTCTGTCTAGCATTTAACTCAAAAAGTCAGTTTACACTCAGTTTACACATTAAAAAAAAAAACATATGCCCCATCTCCCACACATCCAAATGGACAGGGATTAGAATTAACCTGCTTTTAGCTGTAACAGTGCTATTTTAAACAATTTCAACACTTGAAGGGTAAAATAACTAAAAGTACAAGCCAAAAGAAAACATAAAAATTCCTACACACTTACTGTTGGATTAACTATTTCTCAAATCGTCAAGCCTAACATAGATTTCTAGAAAGTGAAATCGACACAAAAGCGAATACACGCTTTATGTACAAACTGACAGTGGCTCTATGGGGACAGCTCTTTTTGAATGAGCTGTTACCCAGACGGTGGAATTAAGGGGTGGGGGGGAAGGTCTCACTCTTAAAATGTGAGAGAACTGGCGGTGCGCTTCACTAGAAACACATTTTAATGGGTATATTTGGATAAAAATAGGTAGTAATGGGAAAATGTGTGTGTGTTTTTTTTCTTTTTTCAAAAAACGAAAACAAAAACAAAAACAAAAACCAACCTTCTCCTTCCCCAGGGCAGAAGGAAACCCGAAGGAAAATATGGGTAACCTCATAAGCTCCGGAGCTAAGTTCCATCACTTAGGCAGCACAGAAGTTGGATAGTTGCTATTTTTCACCCTGCAGTGGGATAGTAACTCTCCCTGCGCAAGGTACGCGGGGCGGGAATACTGGCGGGGCTTTCACGTGGGGTAAATGGAAACCAAAGTGAGGAGAGGTCAACACCTAGAGTAATCCAGTTCCCCAAAAGAAGGGCGGTGGGGACGCGGGGTGGCGAAGGCGAGAAGGGAAGGGTCAAAACTCTTCGAAGTTATCGCAAAGAGAAAGCGAACACTTTTGGGAACCAGCGAGCCATCTCTTGCAAGAGCACCCTGCTCCAAGTGTGGGGTGCTTGCCTCGGAGGGCAGAAAGCGCGGGGTGCCCTTACTTAGGTCGAGTGGCTCCGGGGACTGGGGCAGAGAGAGGGGCAGGGGCAGCCGCCGCCGGGGAGGCGGACTCGTACTTTGCTTCAACTCTGAGCCCCATCCCGAGCGCAAGGGAGAGAGTGGCGGAGGGCACGGTACTCACTAGGGCTCGTTGGTGAACCGGGGGGTCCGGGGCTGCTGGTATCCGTACAGGTGACAGTAGAGCACATCGAAGCAAAAGCAGCACATCTCCGCTGACACCACCATCTTCCGGGAGCCGGGCGATGAGGACGAGGCGGCGGACAAGGAGGGTGAGGAAGAGGTGGCGGCGGCCGGGGTAGAAAGTAGGGTCCCCACTCCACAGCTCGGAGGTGGCGACAGGGAAATCCCCCCGCCGCCGCCGCCGCAGCCCTGGGGGGGAGAGAGGGTACAGCCACTGCCGCTACCTCCTCCAGATAGACCTCCCAGCCCGTTGAGCCGCGTGCCGGCGCCTCCTAGTCCCAGCTCCCCAGCTCGGCACTGGCTCTCTCCGCTGCAGTGGGAGGAGGAGGAGGCGCCACCACCGCCACCCGAGCCAGAGGGGGGCGAACTGGACAGTTTCTGCTTCTTCACCCCGCAGCAACCCGCCGCCATCTTGGAACAGTCTCCCCCACGCAGCGCTTCCGATCCATAAGTGAGGCGAGCTGGCGGCGGGGGCGAGCACGCTGCGGCCCCGGCCGCCGGGGGCGCGCCAGGGGCTCGCGGGGCGCGCGCGCGCGCCACAACCCGGCCGGCCGCCCGGCCACACGGCTCCCGCGCGCGCGCCCTCGGCTCGGCGCGCGCCCCGCGCTTTCGCCGCTCGGCACCTCGCGCCTGTCCCGCGGGACTCGCGCCTCCTGGGAGCCGCAGCGTCGAGCCCCGTGGCCCTCAGAGGATGGATGAAAGACGGGAAGCTCTGTCGAAAGGAAAGACAAGGAAACAAGAACGCGAAAGCGGAGAGTAGGAGCAAAGGAAGGAGGGGGACACGCCCGGGGAGGAAGAAGGGAAAGGAAAACTAGTTGGGGGAGGGAGACAAAGAAGAAAGTCCGAAGTTAAGTGTCTGAGTCCCAAAGCACACAGCTCGATGACCCACACTACACAGAGTGTCAGTGACACTTGAGCCGAGTTACGTGAAACCTGAGCCACCGGCCTCAAATACGCTGGTTTCTGAACTGCCAGAGCTGAACAAGCAGGTGCTTGGAGCTCCACACCTGAGGCCGCCCCTGTAAAGTGCGTACAAACCAGTCAGGGGAAATGGCCACACTGCGGTCGCTTTAATACCCACCTAAGCACGCACCCGGGGTCTTCCAAGATTATGGTAAAGGGCAATAATCTTTCCTTATGACAAACATTCAAGCCTGGTTGAATCTATATACTCCTCCCTTGTCCCCCCCCCGCCCCCACCTTTCCCTCCCAGCCCCTTGCAAATGTTTTCGAAAGCAAAAAATAAAGTCCTCACCAACACCTCCCTAGTTCAAAGATGTTGGTCGTGCTCTGGAACTTGCTGCGGTGGGTTATTGTGTGTGTGTGTGTGTGTGTGTGTGTGTGTGTGTGTGTGCTGGCTTGGGAGCAAAGCAATTAGAAATATATCTGTAGTCAGCACAGATCTTACAGGTAAATAGGGCAGGTAGTATCCTTAGTCACAAATTGAAAGGTTTTGTTCATGTATAGAATTAGATGCCTCTTAGTATTCATTTAAAAAAAATTCTCAATCAAAGAATGCTTGAATGAATGAGGAGGCGTGTGATTGAGTCAGTCCCATTCTGGGCACCTAAGACAAATCAAGTGTTACATTCATAGAAATTAGCCTGTTAGAAACAGAAAGTGTGAATTATTTGCGTTGTGTCTACACCATACCAAAACATATAGACAAAGGCAGGTGTCTGTAGATTTGCAGACATCAGAGAATTGATTGATTTTTGTCACCTTTGAGCTAAATGTGTGGGATCTTGCAAATAGCTAAAGGCTATTCATTCCACTCAGGAGAAAAGTTTATTCATGCAACGAATATTGAGCCTCTGCACCACCCTATGTGCACGACACTGTACTTATGTCGAAATCCAGGAAGTATACTTCCCACTCTCAAAGAGTTTATGAATTAAGCCAGATCCGCGTACACAATCCAACAAATAACTACTATTTATTGAGCACTTCTTGGGTGCCAAGTACTATGACTCGACTTACCCCATCACCCTTCAGAATGATATATTACTTCATTTGATCCTCACAGTAACCCTCTGAGGTTGCTCATTTACAGATGGGGAAATTGAACCTCAGAAGTGACTTGCTCAACATCACCCACATAGAGAGTGATGGAGTGAGGATTTAAATGACTGATTTCAACAACCATGCCATTGTGCTATACTGCCTCTCAATGTTACTATTTGATACCAAGGTTAGCGATGGATACAAGATGGTGATGTTAAAACTACACTGGGGGGGATGGAGGTTAAACAAAAATAAGAACTTCATAATTGGGGAAAGATTGAGAAACACTAAATATTACCAAGTAAAAATGAAAAACCTTAATTTGTTTGCAACTGGGTCAAATACAGTATCAGACAATAGGTACTGATTTACTCACCACTCCACTAAAAAGTGAGCACTTCTGGAGTAGAAAACGAGTGCCATTCAATATCACACGACAGTTTAGCAAAGGAAGCAAAGTAGGATACCATGGATGGCTGCTTCTGCTAAAGGAATTTAGGAAAGCAGAATGTAATCTCCCAATTTAGAATTTGGCCAGGAGACAAGAGTCTAACGCCCCTACTTTTGTGAAAATAGCAAGGAATCTTTAATAAGCACCATAATCATGTCCTTATTTCTGCACTTCATCTAAAAGACACAGCACTATCATGGATATCATGGCAGCCTAAGGGACTGAAGCAATGGGAAACCCTAAGACAAGGACATCCCAGCTGAATAACAAAAATAGCTTTTCCCCCAAGGATGTTAAATGCCAATTTCAAACCTCACAAGCATAAAGAAATTAGGCAAACCCAAACCTGAGCTTTGCAGAAAATACACCATTACCTGACCACCAGGAGTTACTATCTGAAGCGCTCTGTTGTATTAGCTGGCTAAAAGTGGGAGAAAAAACACTCTAACCTTTTTCTCTGTGTTAACTTCTCCTGAGCCTGGCTCATCTCCTGTATCAACCTTAAGCCTCAACATGCTTTGCAAATCCCCTGGCAAGTAGTGGTGGTGGTGGTAATGCCTCCTTTTAGCCTTTGAGGAAATGCCTCTTCTTTCCTCGTTTTCTTGCAAAGTCACCAGCATAGAAGTAAATGTATTTCATTCAAACATGAGTGAAATCTACAGATCAGATTCTGTGAAAATGGTGTTGTGGTTACTTTCTTATTTGCTTGTTTGTTTGCTTTTACATCTAAGCAAAGTGCACACTAGATGGAAAAACTGACCTTGCTCAGGCTTCTCTTGACTTGAAGTGTAAAGGTCAAAGTATGATAGAGCACATGTGTTTCTACCCGCCACTAACACTGGAGTGAAGTGATAATACCCTCCAGAGGAAATGTTAAGGTATCTTCTGCTTTTTGCGACCAACTGTCAACTGGAAGGTAAAGATTCCATGTTTCTTTTAAATAAAAGTAAATAGGCCATAGTCTCTTTGTCAACAAAGCACATTCAAGCTATAAGCACTTCTGCATCTGCCTCTAAATTGCTATTAACTAACCATTGTCAAATGTTTTGTTATACAACTGTGAAAAACTGCTTGAACAAAGGTTATGCACAGTATTTGCTATGTGGTAAAGCTGGAAATTGAATTTAACCCAGTAGTTAGTGATTATTTTATCATTACCTCAATGTATCCACATGTTTACAAATATAGTTATTTTTTTATTTCAGGAAAAAAAGAGAATTGTATTTCAATCAGGTAGTGAATACATGCTAACATTGCAAAATTATTTTCTTAGGTTTCCAGGGGTGTGAGTGGGATGAAGAATGTGCACATAGTTCAATGAGAAAAAACTTCCATTTATGCCCAAACAAGTGTTATTTTTATCCTCTGTCATCAAACTTTCTCAACTGTCATCCTTGAACAACTGCAAAATGTAATATTATTAGCCACCACTTTGATCTAACCTTGTACACATATAACACATGGTTGTGGTGGTCGAGGTGGTGATTAGTTCCCTTTTATAGTTGAATGAATATGCAAATAAATACCAGGATTCTTTACCTACTTTTCAATTCAGACTGATAAAACACATTTTCTTTTCTTTTTTATAGATTTTATCTATTTATTTACGACAGACACACAGAGAGAGGCAGGGACATAGGCAGAGGGAGAAGCAGGCTCCCTGCGGTAAGCCTGAAGTTGAACTGGATCCCAGGACCCCAGGATCATGACCTGAGCCAAAGGCAGATGCTCAACCACTGAGCCACCTAGGCATCTCATATTTTGTTTTCTTCGTGACAAAACAAATCTTCCCTCCTGGATTCTTTCTTGATCTAATGAACAAAACGTTAATAAGCCAAAGGACCAGGATCTACTTTGGACCGTTTTCTACTTGTTTCATTTATATCTTCTATTGTCAACTGGAGTGCAGACTAATTGAATGCTGTCTTGTTAGCTATTTCCTTGAGGCAAAATTGTATAAACTCCTTAATGAGATTTAGATATGCTAATATCTACAACAAACATGGAAGAATTAACAAAACTCACTAGTTGTAGATTGGAAAGGGAAGCTTTATTGGGAGGAGATGATCACAGAGTATCCTGTGGCCAGTGGGAGGAGTCAAGTACACCTAAAACAGGAAAGTGTCTACCATAGTTTGGATACTCTTGCTTGACTCTTTTTCTCTTTTCACTCTTCTTTAAAGACTTCATCTCCTCTTCTCTAGGCATATAATGGGGCACAAAAATGTATATACCACAACTGTGCACCCACTTATAAATTTAATTATAGACATTTAGTTATTTTTTCTATAACTACTCTCATCATGTTCTGGAACTCCTACTCCAGTTGTCAGTGCACTTATAGACAGGTGAGACATAATGTCAAATAAAATATAAAAATACGTTCTGAAATAAAAGTCCCTTCTTTGCAAATATTAGTTTAAAGTTAAAACTCCCCCAGGGCAGTGAGGAGAGGAGAATCTGAACCCCATAACCTTGGCTGGATCCTGGTTGAAGAGTAACTCATTGAGCCCCACTCTAGCCATTGGCTTAAAGGTCCATAATTTACAATTTACTCTCTCACCATGGGCAATGCACAGTGATTGTGGCAGGTACTCAGCCATCTCTTCTTATTTACTTACTGGAACAATTTCACCATCTCCCAGAAAACCCCATGCCAAGATGAGCACTGGGTGTTATACTATATGTTGGCAAATCAAACTCCAATAAAGAAATATACAAAAAATAAAAAAATTTTAAAAACCCCTACCAATAAGCACTTTCCATATTCCTTCCACTCACCCTACCCCTGGAAACCAACAGTCTACTTTCTGTTCTTATAGATTTGCCTATTCTGGACATTTTCTATAAATGGAATCCTACAATATCTGTCCTTTTGTGGGCTGCCTCATTTTACTTAGCATACTGTTTTCAAGGTTGTTTCCTTGTCACAGCATCTATCAGTACATCATTCTTCTTTATGGCCAAATAATACTACACTA